TGACTTTGGTCAGTTCATCCAAGAATACCTGCGCCTTCTCCTCCTCTTCGAACATGAGAACGATGTCGTCTGCATATTCCAGATCGACAAGGCTTTCTTCACGGGCTATTTGAACACCAGGGTTTTGGAGACCCCCAGCGTTCGCCTGATTATTTCTTTGATCACGAAGTTAAAAAGGAATTGAGAGAGTAGGCATCCCTGACGGACACCGCTTTGTGTACGGAAGCTTTTGGAGAGTTCTCCGTACACTCTTACACGTCCGGAAGTCTGAGAATACAAAGAACGTATCATACGCTTATACGTATGGCGTTGTCCTAGCACCTGAGGAAGTGTGACGAAGTGGTCAATGCAACCTCTACCAGGCTAGAATCCCGCTTGCTGTCCTCGAGTTAGTGTCCCACGTTCCACCGCAAGGCGACGAAGCACGGCTGACGCCAACAGTCTCGTTACGACCGGGGTCAAGCTGATCCCCTTGTGAGGGGTCACTATCACCGATTCTCCCGAGTTGTCTGTCTCAGACTCCTTTTCCCAAACGCAAACAAACAGATCAGACAAGCGCTGACTGGGGACTTCATCCTCGTCTCTGAACAGTGCGGGTGGGAGGTCATCCGGACCAGGAACTCGGTGGCGCTTGAGAACATATGCAGTCGTAAACCTCCGGCACCGCAGGTGGTTCCACGTTAACCGTCCAGGGTTCTACTTCACCTGTGGGCTATAGATGAGTTCCAGCTGGTAGCCACGACAGTTGTTGTTCAGTATTCAGCTCACTGGTCGAGGCGTTCTTCTTTATTCGAGATGGTCGTTCCATTCTGATGTTTGATGGTTTCACTCACAGGTGGTTTCCGGGGTCTGGTCGCACGGATCAACTGAAATAATCTTCGCGCATAACCGGCTTGCTGGGCCTCTTCCATTTTTTTGGCTTTCTCTGTCCACCATACTTTACGGTCGGCTCGCACGCTAACTTCTGCTTGACGTCTGATAAATTTTCGCACCAGGTTATGTTCGGGACCGACTAGGTTATTTCTGCGAGATTCAAGCAGTGCCACCGGTCTGATAACTAGTGCTTGGGTGTGCCTGGTTGGGTCGTGCAAGTGGTTAGTGCGCGAATTTACTTAACAGAAGGATTGTGGTTCGAACCCAACCTCTGCCTCTCAACTTCCCCCGTCTAGGCTTGGGCAACCTGACAATTTCCCAGCCCTCGTGCAACCTTCAGGTGGCATGGCAGCCAGGCACCGGACCGGGACTGCAGTTGAACGATTTTTTTAGTCGTGCCACTTGAAAAATTCACAGCACTATGCAGAGTCGGCAACCTCGGCCCAGTATGAGTCAGCATCTGATGGTGGAGCATTTGGGAGAGACTCTAGTAAATTCTGGTAAATTCGTCTAACATCCGGATATGGCAGTCTCTCAGCTGAAGCGATTTGTCCGCACCTTACGCAGCCCAGGGGAAATGTGGGGAGAAGCGACTCCGGACAAGTGCGTGGTCAGAGTCAACAAATGTGTTCCAAAACGACTGACAGTCAGTTATTGATCCGTGTCATCGGTAACTGATGGCAATGTGGTCGACTGGAGTTTGTGGCCGGAGGGCCATGTGGCCAGACGACTTCAGCTATTTCGGAAATTAGTACTGTGCCTGTGATCAGCACACAGCTGAAGCAATCGTTCACCATTGTCCGTATGCACCGAGTCCAATCCATGTCGACCTCCTAATTGAAGCGAGTGGAGACTGATGGAGCAGTTAGCTCAGTCACCGTGCTTGCATCTTGAATTCTCGTTTCTGAGAGAAGCACACATCAATGCCAAGCGAGTCCAGTGTGAGTGCAAGAGCAGCCTGTTGTCCTGCTCGCTTCAGAGTGCGGACATAGGACGCGTCCAGATAGACTGTGTGTCGAGGCTTGAAGAATGATTTGGAGACGCCTGAGGATGTCGGCGCCATGTGACAAGCAGATGCTGCATGCAAAACCGATGCATGACGAACGGAGTCATCAGTCCTATATGCTCGGCCTACAAGGAGAGAGTTATAGGTGGGGTGGGGAGAGGGGGGAAAGGTATGTGAAAGAGGGAGACGTTAGCAGTAGCCTGTTTTCGCTTACCCGCCCTGCTGTACGCCGCAAGTAAGGCGACCCGGCTGATGGCACCACGCGACGGCCGATGTGGCATGAGAGTATTGTTAGTCGTGAATGTCATGGTCGTACGAGGGCTGGGATAATGCCAGGGCGCCCACACCTAGACAGGAGAACGAGTAGGGTTCTAAACCAGAGCCTTTGGCTCAAAAGCCTAACCGCAAGGCAGCGGTACTTGGCGGGAAATGCAAATGCATTATCATTTCTACGGAACAAGTCGCCACATGTTCCAACCCCCAACCCGGAGGGCCAGGAGACAGTGTTCGGCTGACCTCTAACCATTGACCAACCTGGTATGAGAGACTTTGTGTGTCACGCGAGTAGAGCTCAATGGATCGCTGAGGTGCGCTAAGCATCACACCACGGTATGGTTCTCTTCGTGACGGATACTGCAGAGATTCCCAAGCCTAGATAGGGGAAGTCGAGAGGCAGAGGTCGGGTTCGAACCAGAGACCTTCCGGTCGGTAAATGCGCGGTCTAACCAAGTGAGCCGTATCGCCCCAAGCGAAAACCTGCTACTGCTGACGACTCCCTACAATTTCACATTTTCATTCATCTACCCTACGCCAACCAAATTTGAATACTTTCTCCGTAAGTCCCAGCACACGGACTGCGCATTACTCCTAGCTGCAGTTTCAGTACGTCCGACTTCAGAAACATTCTAAGCACTTAGAAATTTGCTTTCAAACCCCCCGAAAGCAGGTCTAATTATTGGCCCTTATTGTTTGTGCACTGGAGCAATCGGACAACAGGTGGCGCTTGCTCGTACGCTGGAGTCCCTCAGCACTGATGTATGCTGTCTGTCAGAAACAAGGATACGGACTGATCTGACTGCCCCTTCCTTTTCCAGCTCCTGCTCGCTCACCTCTAGTGATGCTGAGGCCACTGCAGCTGGATAAGCTGGAGTGGATAGTGTTAAGCGACCAACCAGAAGCGTCTCTACTTGACTGTACACCCGTTGATAGTAGAATCTGCGCCGCTTCCAGTTCATAACCATGGCCGAGTATCTGTTCAAGTGTCTAATCTTCGTGGCTGGTATCCAACGACCACATAATGTAGATGCCCGAACCCCGCTACTGATTCCAATTCAACAGGATCCAGAGTTGGCGCTTCAGAGACATCCACCGAATGCCATTGTCATCATTAGCAACTAAAAGAACGTACATGTAGTACACTGGTTGCAGCTGCCAGTTTCGTTCACAGATGATTTGGAGAGGTGGAGACGGTAGCTGCGCATTAGACCAGTAGCTGACATAGTTGACGCGTAAATACAGCGTTGTCAGTGGACTTTTCAGTGAAGAGGTTGAGAAGGGAGCTATGAATTGAAGGCAATAGCTTGGATGCATGAACACCATTAAGTGCTCGATTTGGCCATGTCTGACGATGTCCCTAACCAGTGGCGTGTTCCGTCTTGGCAACGACCAGCGCAGCTAAGTTTGCTGGTGTGGCCTCCATACTTCGCTGCCAAGTCATTGGTGTAACTAGCTCATTGGTTGCGCAAGTCTGTGAATCGTAACAGACTCGTTTCTGATTTTGAAGTTCGTCTTTCTGGTAACTCGACCATCATCGCGTTACGTCTGTTACTCTAACCACTGAGCAATCGCGCCCCAGTCGGCTACGTCACTCATCACTCCTGTGAAGGGAGAAGAGACTCCCCAAGACGGCCAACGAATTTTTGCTCCATTACAACCCACTCAAACCTGATCACATTGCTGTCAAACAGATATTTCATTCTAGCGTTGGATAAAATCACCAAAACTTCTGACGGGTGTCAGGGTACAAGTGAGCTAATTCAATTTTGAAAGAACACAATCAAGATTACGGGTCGAATTTCGAGGCCGAGGACTTCCAACATAGCTACATGTATTTGCAACTGGAACTAAGGAAATTATGCGCGGAAGGGACAGAGTTTGACAGGTAGCAGCAACCCCTGTGGGCATCAAAACATTAGCGGAGTACGCTCTAACCGGATTCGAGGGCTGAAGAGTCCGTGTGTCTAGGGTATTGCAGGTCTGCAACCAAGCCCAACCTATTTTGGACACCGCTGATGAATGCTGATGAGTAAGCGCTGTTTGGCTCTCTGCTTCTTTGCAAGCCCACATACACTGCCATCTATCTCACTGAGGTTGAGATTATCTTCAGCAGATGTTGGGGAAGAAGCACATTTTCGCAGGCAACGGCATATAAAATTAAGAGAAAACCATGTTTTTGACCAACAAAATCTAGATGCAACCCTTCTCCAGACCGGTTTGATGTCGCAACATGGTTTTAATCAGCATATCAAGTTCGCCTTGGAATACATATAGATATGGATTCGCAATAACCAATCGTCAGTACCCGCAGCCGCACAAAGTTATTGGTGGGTGACATTGTTCAGTCTCCAGAGACTGTACACAGCACAATGATGCCTAGCTTTAACCTCAGGCGACTGTCCACAAAAGATTCGACAAAACTCACCTGTATTTGCGAATCATATCGTTGCCCTTGTAACTGGCAGCATCGTTTGAGGTCAGTAATCTCTCCGCATCGTCCTTCTTTTCGAATATAACAAAGACGCTTCCCTACAGGGGAAGAAATGGAACCATTTAGACCGTACCTTGAAGTTCTTACTATCCGGATACCGCCGCATGTGGACATTTAAGGTTTTCCCACCATGAGTTTCCAGCCAATCGATGATGTCGTCCAGATTTGAGTCCAGGCCGAATCCTTTAACGTATATACTGCGGTCCTTAAACTTCTCAAACACTTCGTCAACACTGTCGGGAACCACTTGTTCGGGACACCTGCGGATTCCGTTCTCACCAACCTCCAGCAAACCCGAAGTGGATTTCAATAAAGCGTTCCTTATAACTTCGATATCTTCTGAGAGCGCCTTTAGACGGTTGAACTTAATCATAGTTTCGAAAGGGATCCCTGCACGTGAGTATGTCGATTAGTATCTTACATCCATTGTTTTCCGCTAGTGTGTCTTTCATGAACTTGTCGCGTGAAAGATTAACATCGCTAAAATAATACTGCAAATATGCTCAAGAAATTAAAACAGTTTACCTCCACTTGTTTAATTATTTTGGATTCCAGGAGATCCATCGGTGAGGGCGGCCGGCGTGGTGGAAAATTAAAACAAGGACCCCGCGAGGTAGATCAAGGTCAAGTTCTATAGGTTAAATGGATTAAAGAAGCTCGCACACCAGAAGGAGGCTTCAGTATTTGCACAATGGAATTGATATTTCAATAATCATGGCGTGTCCTTGATGGAAGAAATCAATCGAGCAATTGAGTCGAAAGTGCCGGTTGAAACTTTTAGGCATCGTTTAGGCATCCCGGGGTCTCAGTGATGCTGTGAAAACTATCCCACAAGACTATTGAGCAAAAGGCGTGGGTGCTCCAGCGAATAATGAAATTTGGTGAGCTGCAAAAATACAAGCGTGGATTAGAACGATTTTCAGTTTGAGTTCATAAGGAACAAAATGTAACATTCTTGCGTAAAAAGTTTCACTACTTCTATGAAAATTTTGCAGCTGACAGCATTGTGCCTATAATGGCACCCACGCCTGTGGTCGCGGTATACACCGGTTGTGTCAGTGCTGGTGTGGCGTTTTGTACCTTTGTTTTACTTCCATTATAACACTACGTATTTCATCAATTGCACAATCGTTTTTTTGTTTGAATACGAAAATCTACAAAAACGCGCACTTGTACAATTTCACAGAATAAAAGCGTGGTCACGTGCTTCGACTCTCTCTTCTGATTTCGCTCGCGCTTGCAGCGGTCATTCGCGAGTCTCGTGTACTAACTCTGGTACCAAATCGTTTCAGACATCTTCGGAATCTATTATATGTGGGAACTGTTCAGAAGAAGACCTCCGGACCAACATAATTGGATCTATTCGCTGACCTGGGCCAACGACGAACTATTTTAAAGAGAACATTTGTTAGTGAGTCTGTTCCATCTGACTTCTTTATTTTTGTATACCCAACCTAGCGTAATTATTTTTATTTCTTTGCCACACACTCCTGGTAAACTAACTTATTGGGTAACCAGACCACTACACTGGTCAAAGATTCGAATCCTTTATTTAAAAGGAAAAGGAATGTAATGTGGTTTTGTTGTTTGTATAATGGATTCTAACTGTCTTCTTGGTCTCAAGCTTGCGGGTTTAACTAGAATCCGAGGCGATATAATGAATTGGAACGACGTTACGCCTAAAATTCCATAGTGGAACATCAATACGGAAGATTCCTCCCAATGATCAACTGGATCACAATTGGAAATTGTCCTCAAAGTTTGGCGCTATAAGAAAAGGTGAGAAATTGATTATGGGTCGCAAAATGAAAGACAGCACAAAAGCATCCTCGACACCAGGGGCATTTAAAAAGGAACAGGTTCACCACAGGAATCATGCGGAATAAGGGAGACACCAGCGTGCTTATCTTCAAGAAGAATGACGCTGCATTTCAGCCAAGGAAGCTTCACAGTGCAGCAGCCAGGGATGAAAAATAGTGGACCACAAAATGGTTAAGTTGCGTGAAACCACTACTGTACACTACTTGCCATCCCACAACGTGCTTCATCATCCATGGCTACTACGCATGCAGTCTACAGGCAACATAGCTTCCTGGTTCGTATGTATAAATTGGTCAGACAATTTAGTGCACTCAGGCTCATAGGATAGAGCCTCTCTTGAGCGATTAATCAAACGCTTATTGAAAAATGTATCCATAAAGTCCACGCGCGTTGAATAGACGCCTCTGATGCTTCAGTTCCCTCATGTTGCCTGAAAAGACCATGTAATTTCTAGACTGTTCGTAATAACAACTTGACAAAACAGGCTGTAATCAAGTAACTAACGAAGCTTGCAAGGCAGCGGAGCTCAGTAGACTTAAGCTAACAATACTCGACATTTTGTAAATCGCCCTGACATTTCACTGAGGAAGTTAGCTGTTCGCTCACGCCAAAAACGGCTGTACTAACCTGTATTGACCGCAACATCAAAGCAAGAATTGGTTAATTAACCTATCGCACGATCTAGGTGGCCCATCTGACAGGTAAGTATAGACAGTCAGGAATGATCGTGGGGAAACCAAATTCTACGAAATTCGCGCGCATTTGTTCAGTGGTCGCAATGAAGCAGTGAACAATATATTGCATTGGACGCGGGCAGACAGTATAGATAGGTAGACCATGGTTCTATAAGAAATTAAGGGTGTATCACGGAGAGAATTGAAGACTCACAGCTAGATTGAATCTTTGCCAGTTGGCAACACAGGACGGCGCAGAAAGGGCAGTGTGCTATCGGACAAGTTAAACGGGAAAATTATTGTTCAGTTCAAAGTGGGACAAATGTTCAACAACACACTCAGAAATGAATGTGAACAAATAGACTATAAAAAAGCGGTTGATGTGGAGTCCGAATTGTGTAAAATAGATTCGTTCAGTCATGAAACATGAGCGGCCACTGAAAGGGTATGAATTATCCTGGGGAATAGGGGAACACATAGGTGTGTCACCTGATCAAAAATTGCTCCTCAATATTCGCCGTATTTCAGTGTCATTTTTCTCACAATGGATTTTGCGGTTATTGGCTTATTCACTCGGCTGTACATAAATAACGATTAGACAAACCTTTTTGGCACAACAACACCCTACCAATGTCCCGTTTGTTGCAAAGGATGCGCCGACACTTCTCTCGTTATTAATGAAGCAGAGCATGCTAAAATACGGATTCTCGTACCTGTTGAAACCAAGCGGCATGTTTGAGGACCTTGGAAGTGTTAATTTTGGTGGGCAAAAACTTATTCGTATCCACTTGTTGTCAATCGTCCAAAGCAGCGATATTCACTAACTTTATGTTTTTTGGAACAATAACATATTTATTAGCCAGATTGCACCAACTGGTCACTGCCAAGTTGTCTAACATTAATATTGACGGGCAAGGAGGACGATGGTATACGTCGAAATGAGGCGTTGTGAAACTGCTGTGAAGTCTTCTCGACAAATGCATCTGGAAATTAGTCCTTCATGTATGTTTTCAAAAACCACTACCCAAAATTTTTCTATGGCGCGCTCAAGAGGGTAAATCTCGGACCCACTTTCAGGCAAGCCCCATTCTTGAAGATTTCCGCCATTGAGATAACAACGAATCGGAATCTGGATGATGCCACATGAAACGCGATTGCCATTCTTAACTGCTCACCACTGGAAGCACATGGCTAATTTCTCAGAAGCTGTAGTTTTGAACGGAGTAATCGCTAACATAACGTTTTCCCATTTGATTGTAATGATTCGAGACTTGAAAGCACCTTTCTTATACTTGAAGATTTGCTGGTATTTGTCTAAGCATATTCAAAGCGCATAACTCCTAATTTTAGTGACTTCCAAAAACCTTTCATGACGTATCCTTGAGGGTCGAGCAAAATTTTTCCGAGAAATTGTTCTATATTTGAGTTGAAAACATTTTTCCAGGAATAGGGTGACAACAAATACCAGTCTTTGTCCACGCAAACTAAAAAGAGCAGTCATTTGTTATCTGTATAAGAAAACGTTCTCGATCGTCACAGCGGGCGTTAAATTGAGCGAGTTAGAGAAATTCGTCAACGCTAGTAAGATTACTGGTTTTGTATGATTGTCAGTCCACTCCGTATCGGGTGGACGGTTTAACCTTCACCGGTCAACTGACTGTTTGGAAAGGCCATAGGAAAATCTGTCAGTAGATAGAAAGAGCGGACAATAAAATGCGGTGGTTGTTGCCTTGCAGTTTTAACAGAAATTCAACGGATCGGCACGATCTTGTGGGCGCGTGCAACACGATCGTTCGAAAAATTTTGAGGAATTGGTAAACTAGGGGCAAGTTAGGAGATTGAGCATGGCAGTCGCGATTCCGGCCGTCACGGTTTGGAGAGGCGATGCGCGCAACCGAGGTTTCACCAAGTTTTCCGGGTCGGTTTTGTTCTTGTCGTTCAGTGACCGTCATTCACTTGAAAGACATGCGAATAAAGGGTGCAGCACTTCTTCATAAGTTCTCAGCGTGGATCAGTATGATAGCCAGCGCTAGGATTCCTATAAAAACTGCTTAATAGAGCTTTGAGCTGGGCGCTAGAAGGAGCGTCGACAACCGTCGGAGGAAGGATAGTCCACGCAGCTATTATTCAAAATAAAAAATTTGCTTGATGAATGTGCGCACCCGGAGTTCTAAATCTTCCCACCATGTCTCTGCCATGTGCTAACTGGGTCAATGGAACACCAGTGTAGCACTTGTAAACTGCTCTTCACCATGTCTATGTGCTAACTGGGTCAATGGAACACCAGTGTAGCACTTGTAAACTGCTCTTTTTCATGCTCAGTATCATCTTCTTTTTTTTTTTCACCAGTCACATCGCTGTACAAAAGTTTGTTTTACTGAAATACAACCGCTACCGCCCGCGCGTTGGCTCCAACGTGACTTTGAGACTTCTGCTGAGTGACTGTTGTTGTGACCGCCGGTTAGCTATATCTGACCGCTGCTAATACTAAACGTGAACAAACATTTCAGCTACAAACGCTGGACTAATATATTCACGCTTGTGGAATAATATTTCGATCACCGGAGATCTGGGATACCAGGAAGA